ACTTCTCATTTAAGTTTCTCTCTATTTTATCCTTAATTATCCTTCCACCCTTATCTATACAGTATTTAATAAGGGTATTATATGTAGTTTTTTTGGTTAAATCTTAATATATACTAAACAACCTACAATTACCATTTATATAAGACGGAGATAGTGAATTCCTTCCTCGGTACATTAGCTGCTTTCTATTCGGTTTACCTGCTCAACTGGGCCTGTAGAAATACGGCCCATAAACTCACCCTCCTCAATTTCCCTCTTACATTTTGCCTAAATACGACCAAAAAATAGTCAACACTATTTTTCTTATGCAAATCTTAATCAACACTAAATCCTAACCCTAATCCTACTCGGTTTATTAGTCTCAAACTCAATGCTTAGTCATCTCGGATTTTAACGCCACCAAGCTAATATAATCACCAGATTAGCGGCCGCTTAATCCGTAATCCCGTCTCGATTTTGAGGTTTTTGTTAGCGATTTGGCGCCACTCGCGAAATTAGCCGAGCGATTTCGATCTCGTCGTGTTCTAGAACGCACCCGGCCATGGCAGCGGCCGCCGGCGGCGGAGGCGGAGGCGGCGGAGAGAGCCAGCAGCAGCTGTTCGAGAGGCTGCACGGCGAGCTGGTCAGGGAAGCTGAGGACGTGGCGGCGGCGTCGTTCGGCGCCGACATCACCGTGCTGGCCGTCTCCCCGCGCTCCGGCGAGCCGCGCGTCAGCCGCTTCCACGGCGGCGGCGGCGGCGCCGGCGGCGAGGAGTTGGAGCGGGCGGTGGGCGTCAGCACGGAGGAGATCGCGCGCATGGGTCGGGATGAGGTGGCGGCGCTGCTGGAGAGGCTGCGGCTACTTCGGATGGTCGTGCTGCGGAGGATGGTGGTCCAGAGGCAGAGGAGACGGCGACTCCGGCGGCAGCGGCCGGCGGCGCCGCCGCGGAGCATCATGGTCGTCCAGAAAAGACGACGGCGGCGGCAGATCTGCTAGCTATAGGTCGTCTGAAATGGTTGATTATTTGGTTCTAGTAGGTGTATTAATTGTGCCATGATCTATAATTCATTGTGTAAATAACAACGATTGATCGATATTATGATTGAATTTGTGTGTTAGGGCAAGTACATAGGTAGAGTCTCTACTTTAATTAAAGACTATCACGTTACAATATTTAAGATAATACGGTCTCTAACCATTAATGTACCAAAATACTTTTTTACTGGTCACCTTTCCTTTATTATACTCAATGCAACGAAAAATTTCCTAATAAATGCTAAGAGTCGACTCTATGCCGTTGTCATGCGTAGCAATTATCTTTCTATTTCCTTCTTCCTCTCTCTTTCACGTCACCAAATATGTTTGCATGATAATAGAGAGACCGCTAATAAAGACCATTATACATGCCCTGGTCAAATCATCAGGTCTGGTCTCTTCTACTCCCTCCAATTAATGCCTCCATTTCATATTATAAGATGTTTTAGTCTCATCATGTTTTAGATTCACTGATATCCATATAAATTTGAACATATATATATGAATTACATATATGAATACATGAATGAATCTAATTTTCCACGCAAAAAAAAAAGAATGAATCTAATCTAAAACTAAAACCGTTGTAGAATGTGAAACAGACTCATGGTGTATAGCAGTGTATGTGCGTATGCGTTTCATGGGTTCCTAATGACAAGGCATATCTAACCCTCGTTGGGATTGGAAAAACAACGGTTGTGGCACTAGCTCGAAGATGAGAGGATTGGCCTTAAGGGTGTAAGTGGATCAACCACAAATCCATTCAGGCTAAATATACTCATTTACTTAATCTATAAGTAGGTTTGTGGCTATCCCTTAACTAGTCTGGTTGACACCATCAAGATGGATGGCGTGTGGTGCTTTGGGGTGGGGCCGGACAAGTGGCAAGAGTGACCAAGCTGAATGAGAGTGGAATTAGGCATATAAATAGCAACATATATAATTCTTAGGGCAATCCTGGGTCCTGACCATTTAAAACTCAAACCATCGTAGAATGTGAAACAGAGACCTATGAATAGCAAGCCAACATGCATGATAGTAAGTTGAAAGTAGTTTTTTTTATTATTATTATTTGGCGTGCATTCCTCTTTTTTTTTTTCGCCGACGATGGCGTGGCCTCTGTCTATTACGAAAAAAAAAAATAATGCTAGTGAAAATTAGCCAGCAAGTAGAAAATGCTACCACGAGTATTCATCACCCAGTCTCTATGGCAACATTGGCTCCACTACCGATCTCTCGTGTATTCTTCGCCCCGTTCGACTTTACTCAAGACGAAGACACATATAACCAGAAATCCCGCCATTAGCACATAATTAACTAGTGTTTTTTTGCGACATAATTAATTGAGTGTTAATTATTCTAAACTTAAAAAAATAATGTATCTAATATTTTTTAGCAACTTCCATATAAAAAAGAAGTTTCACACGAAATACACCATTTAACCGTTTGAAAAACTTGCAAACTGAAATTGAGACAAGATTTGTATCTTACTCAGAAAATATACGTATATGTATTATCATCCGCGTGTAATCATAAAAAACTAAAACAAGTTCATACTATCGAATGAACAAAAATACTACCTCGTTTCATATTATAAGTCGTTTTCTAAGACAAACTTCTTTATATTTAAGCAAATTTATAGAAAAATATAGCAATATTTTCAACACAAAACAAAAAAATATCAAAAGATGTGCAACATTAGATGTAATGAAATAAATTGGTGCTATAAATGTTACTACATTTTATATAAATTTGGTCAAACTAAAAAAACCTATAATATGAAACTTAAGGAGTAGAAAAGACCGAAATTTTACCTCCTATGCTTTTCGATTTTGCTATATATTTATCGATAATTTTTTTCTAAAAAATTGACTGATGTAAATATAGTGCAATCTTAATGTATTTACATTGTAATTTGCATGTAAATACAATGTAGTTTTAAACCGTTCGATTTGCTTTAAAAATCGTGCAAGGGAGGAAGGCAAAAAATCACAACCCACTGTTAACGACCAAAGTTGGTAAGATATGAACCAGGTTCGACAATAGAGTCGAAGCGGATTCGGCAATGAGATGGATTCGAAGAACAGAGTATGCATCGGCTGCGAAGGCATCGGCTGGAGTGTGCATCGGCTGAGATGGATCGGATAGAAGACAGCCGATACAGCCGATAGAGATGAAGCAACCGATTCCGACAGTAGTGGCTTCAAGGCTGTTTCTAGAATCAATCGACGTGCTTCACAAGGATTACCACGATGGAGATAAAGCTCTTAGATAGGCAATTGTATCTATTAATTAGGATATCTTATGTAATTTCCTTAGAGATATGTTTGGGCAAAAGTCTGCCGCAAAGACTTATGGTATCTTAGAGTTTGTTAGAGATAAGAATCGTGTCCGGCAAGGACATATTTTGTATCTCGGGTATAAATATGACCCGAACCCATGTAATCAAACAACACATGTTCAATAACAAATTCGGCGCATCGCCACCCTTTTATTCTATTTTGACGAGTTCTTGCTTTCGGATTGAGTTGCATCGATTCGATCTTCAACTAGAGGTAAACTTGTCATGGTGGCTTGCGTTCTCGGGATTAGTGCTTCCATCTTTATGACACTCTAATCTTGTTTATGTAATTCGTCGAGTTATCATATGTACTATATAATCTTTGTTAGTTTCGTTACATAACTTGTCATCGGCTGGTTTTTACTGTTAGAAAGTAGCCGATAGAGTTAAATCTCGTTATTGATCTAGATTATATCGTATGTCTACCATCTCTCAGAGATTTTCATCATCTTGTTTAGATCTTACAGTTATTTTATATGCTTAATGCTGCATTGGTTAAGTTCGATCTATTAAGTTTTATCTATAGTTGTGATATCTAGCTTGTTTTATGATCATCTATAGAGATAGCATCGGAGTTTCAGCCGATCTTACCTAATTTAGCTATTCTAATATCATATGCTTAATTGTTATGCTAAATCTGCCCTTTATATTAAGATCTTGTTGCTTTAAAGTTATATTAAGTTCTTATTTGATATATCTTGCTTGTTTCGATATCTTAGTATAGAGTAGTATCGGAGTACTAGCCGATACATGCTAAATCTATCTGATCGGCTATGCTATAAACATCCATATAATCTTTGCTTTAACGTATATTTCGACTTAAGTGATTCATACTGTCTCGGCATGACGGCCGATCTATCCCAATCACTTAGTTTAAGTATACATCGAAGTAAAAACTGTATGTTGTTAATATCTACAGCCGATCGAGTAGATTTAGTTTTATTTTATCTATTAATCATTGCCGATCGATTCCAACATGACATCGGCTCAAAGATAAATGATATGTCATTGGCACCTAGCCGATCGGCTATCGTTTATGGATTTAACCGCAGTTTTTCTTGTCTTTATTCTTATTGATTGCAGAATCAAATCAACAGGCACGCTCACGAACCTAAAGGCGAGATTTTGGACTTGCACAGGAGTTAAGCAGATCTTCCAGGCCAGTGTGTGTTTTTCACATCAACGCATATGTGAGGGTATTCGGTACTATTACTTATGTTTTCACTGAAATAGCATGCCACCTAGGGAATTTCAAAAGTTACGACATAGTTACATACAAGTTACAACGTAATTAGAACATGATTGTACAAATTTTTCAGTTGAAATTTAACGATAACTGTATAGCTAGTCCAAGGTTTAATATTTCGGTTTAGTGTTTTGTATCGGTGGTGGCCGAAATACCGAAATTTTAAAAATTTCGATCCAAAACTATATGAAATTTTGAATAAAATTTGAACAAAATATTACCAAATTCATGAAAAAATGAAAAAAAATTCGGCTGAAATAATATGGTATGGTGAAGGGTGGGAGGGGGGGGTCCGATAGAACCGAATTTTCGAAATTTCGATCCGAAATTGTGAACCCTGAGCTAGTCAGTCCCATCCTTTTTCATGCAAAGTGATAAGAATGGCATGGGCGCGGCAAACGCGGGCGGTCCCAAGCTCCGGGCGATCGACGAGCCGCCAAAACCGCGGGGCGGCAGCTCATGTCTCGCCTCGCCGCGCACATGACATTGATAATAACACCGTCGTCAGCGCTACCCAAATTCCCCCAAGGCGCCGCAACGTTCCCCGACGCCGGCCGGCCGCCCACGGCCCTCGCGCGCATGGGCGGCTTCGCTCCCCACCCCGTCGTCGTCCCCACCGCCGCCATGGACGGGACCAGCAGCGTTAGCGCGCGGACGGCCTCGTCTCTGTCGTCGTCGTCGTCGTCGCTCGACGACGGCGGCCGTGGCCGGCCTCCGCCGGCCGGGTCGACGCTGGAGCTGCCGTCGCGGAAGCACTACCGGTACCCTTCCCGGTCGGCGAGGCTGTTCCAGAAGCTGCGCCGCTCGCTCCCGCTGCTGACGCTGGCGCCGCGGTGCGGCCGGATGCAGGTCGGCTCGGCGAGCGAGGTCGCCGCGGCGGCGGCGTCCGGCGGAGGAGGAGGAGGAGCAGCCGACTCGCACCTGATGTCGCACGTCGTGTCGTCGTTCTCCGGCGCGGCGCGGCCGATGCGGCGGGTGACGGGGACGCTGTTCGGCCACCGCAAGGGCCGCGTCGCGCTGGCGCTGCAGGAGACGCCGCGCTGCCTGCCCACCCTCGTCATCGAGCTCGCGATCCAGACGAACGCGCTGCTCCGGGAGCTCGCCAACCCCGCCGGCGCGCGCATCGTCCTGGAGACCGAGCGCCGCGCGCCATCCACGGACGCCGCCGCCGGCAAGCACCGGAGGGCGCCGCCGCTGCTGGACGTGGCGGCGTGGACCATGTTCTGCAACGGGAGGAAGACCGGGCTCGCGGTGCGGCGGGAGGCGACGGACGACGACCTCGCGGTGCTGGAGACGCTGCGCCCCGTCTCCATGGGCGCCGGCGTGCTCCCCGCCTCCAACAGGTCGTCGTCGTCGTCGTCTCAGTCGCCGGAGAAGGGGGCGGCGGCGGCGGACGACGAGGTGGCCTACATGCGCGGCTGCTTCGACCACTTCGTCGGCTCGCGCGACTCCGAGTCGCTCTACATGATCGCGCCCCAGGGCGGCGGCACCGGCCCGGAGCTCGCCATCTTCTTCGTCAGGCTATGACCACCACCACCACCTACTCGCCGGCTCGCCGGCGATGCACCGATCAATCCATCGCCACCGCCATCGCGCGCGCCATGCAAAGCAAGACGAAGGGCGCGTCGTGATTCGTGCAGCCCTCTTGACGGCCTCGAGATTCGTGAGGAGCAGGCGAGCCACCTCGACTCCCTACGTCAGAGATGGCTTAGCTTAAATTTAATCATCTGATTAAGCACTAATCTTGTGCTCTTAGTGGGTGATTAGGTTGTGAGGAGGTCATTGCATAAATCGGGTTTAATGGTGGTGCCCAACACCTCATTGCACACACAATCTAGTGGAGTACGGAGAAAATTATATTAATTAATTAAGTTGCTTGCTTTTGCTTTCTTCTCTCTCGCGTTTAATTATCGGATGGTAATTTTGCATAATTTATTTGTCAGTGCAAAGAATTTGAGAATTACATATAAACTCCATTTTGGTTTAGATTAACTAAATTTTTGCACCAAAAAATTGTACATATATATATATATGTCACATATAATCTCTATCTCTTCTCTACTATTATAAAAAATTAAAGATCTTTTTGCCGATATTTTGATACGGCATCCGTGTTTGAGTCGGTTCTTAAGTTGGTTCCTTTTAGAAAAAAAATCCGTGTTTGAGTCAGATTTTAAGTTCGTTTGCATTTGGAAATAAAAAAGAGTTGTATAAGAAATCTCTTTTAAAAAAAATTTGCATGCTAACTTGAGATGAAAGTTGGACTCATGATTGCAGCTCATGATTTTCTAAAAAAAATAATATCCAAGCGAATTCCCCCAGTGAATTTCACACTAAGTGAACTGTTTCTTTACCTCTACTATTATAAAATTTGAAAATGTGTTTGTCGGTACTTTGATATGTCATCCGTGTACGAATCAATTTTTAAGTTCATTCGCTTTTGGAAACACAAATACATATTCGAGTCGGTTTTTAAGTTCGTTCGCTTTTGAAAATACAGAAGGAATCGTATAAGAAATCTCTGTAAAAAACTCATATGCTAACTTGAAATGATCGGACTCCTAATAGTAGCTCATGATTTTCTAACAAAATATATATCCAGCCGAATTTAACACCGTAAATTTCACCTTAACTAAACCATATAACAACAATAAAATTAAAATAGCCTTCACCCGTTGCAACGCACGAGCATTTTTCTATAAAAGATAAAACTGAGAAAAGCTCCATCCGCTCAAAACAGAGGAAAATTGTATATATATGTTGCATAAAATATAAATTTGAGAAATTTGGTAAAAAAAATCTATATTTTTTTACAGGTCCATTAGGTATTTAGGCTAAAAATTAACATAATTAACCAAAAATTCCACATTTTCCTAGCCATGATCCACGGATACTATATGTTAGTTGAGCAAATAAAATGTACTCCATCCATCTCAAAATATAAAAGTATTTTTAAACTTTGACATGGTCTTCGAGATACTATTTTGACCAATTATATCTACAAAAGTTATATGTTTTAAATAAAAAAATTGCATATTATGATAATTTGTTTAATAATATCAAAATTACATGATTAATCTGTTTTATTTTTTACTATTAATAGTCAAAATTTTAAAAATTTGACTTGACGCTATTCTAAAAGTAATTATATTTTAGGAGAGATGTTTAAGCCAAACGACATATTTGTAAACGAGAAGTAATTTGTGAATAAAACTTTTATATATATATTCTTAGCGACCTAAAAACAAATGCTACAAAATAAACTTCGATGAGAAATCCTCGAAATCAGTTAAAAATTTAAGATTGAAAATTTAAATTTTAGCTGATAAACATATACATAAGAAAAATATGGGGCAATATGGGGCCGGTAGTAGTATTGTGGGTGTCTAATCAATCAAATCGAAACGTCTGGATCGATTCGTCATTATGGAGGTAGTGAAGGTATTAATCATGCCACGTAGACAAAAAAATGTGCACCAAGTTTGGCTCCATTGTCGAAAAAATATCAAAAATAAATGTGCACCAAGTTTGGCTCCATTGTCGAAAAAATATCAAAAATCCGGCTTCCTTTACACGCATTAAAGAATGCAATTCGATACCATGCATGTCTTGTATACACTGTTTAATCTGAACTCAGGAATACATTCCCACCGATTCGAAATAGTATTATATTCGATTCCAAACTGAACTGTGCAATTTGAAATTAATTAATAATCCGGATAAAATTTCTACACCCTATGGTCAAAACCAAAAGTACAATTACTATAACGTTAATATTATCTCTTAAAGTCAATGCAATACTCATTTTAGTCAAACATACATGGCACCATCAAATTTTTGAAACTTTAAGATATCAAATTTAGAAATACTTTGTATGGAAACATAAAACATAAAAAAATATACTACATCCAACTCAAATATATAGTTGACGTCCTAAATTATCTATAGTTGAACTTCAAAATGTTATGTCGTTAATAATATAAAGTTATTATGATTTAATATGTGAAAATTAATATTAATAAATTTATCATGAAAAATTTTGTCCGAGAAGTGGGAACCAGGGCCACCGGTCTTTGGGCGCGCGGGGTGCTGTGAGGCCCACCACTCTTAGAGTAGGGCAATCATAAGGACGCAGGCAGTTGCCCCGAAGTATAGGAAAAGAATAACTAGCCCGAGCAATGAGCCAAGGCCCCGAGGTCGATCTTGGGGCTGGAGGATTGTCCTAGCTACACCACCACAATTAAGGAGATTTGACCCCCACGTTGCCTCTCGGTGTCATTCTGCGCTAATAGCATAATGATGTGTTTCCTGTGGAAAAAACGTGGGTGATAGGACGTGGCATCCTTCTCACTCTTGCCCACAACGGTCTTGAAAAAGGTAGGGGATAGTGAATGTGCTGCTGGGCGACGTGATTGTTGCTTCACATTGCCCGCTCTGATTTGTTGTTTGTTTTGGCCCCCTTCCCAGCATCAGTAGCTGACATGTGGGCCCAATGATGATCAAAGTGCAAGCCTCAATCATCCTGCGCCACGGGGTCGGAAGAAAGGGTAGGCACTCGCATTGGACAAGGCTTCACCAGATGGACCAACGCAAGACCAAATGTGCCCACTCCAATATGTTGGGCCTCACCTATGTTTGTATGTTTTAAGATATCCCTTTGCTATTATAAAAGGAGGACCAAGCCATCGAAAAAAGGATTCGAAATTTAGACAACTCAAGCTCACTCTCCAAGAACCACAAGAACACCCTGCAAGCCAAATAGCTAAGCAAAAATCATATCAGTAGGGTATTACGTTTCTGAACAATCCAAAGATGTATACATCGTTTAATGTTCATTGTTTCCACACGTGATTCTTCGCACTCGAGCTGGAACACCTATACCCTAGCAAAAACTCCAAAAGGAGGGTATCTAGCCTTCCCACTAGAGGAGCCCGTGCTACGACATATATATTTTTATAGTTGTATTTGTTTAATATTTTTTATGAATAGTTAAATATATTGATAGAGCATATGTATTGGAGATTGTGCCAACGTTTAAAACGTAAGTAGGAAACAACGCTAGGTAGTAACAGTAAATGTAGATTTGTCTTTTTAAAAGATGATTTCTTATCCTCGTGAACTTAGTAAAATTTACAAACTTATTCAGATAAAAACAATAATAAAAGCTATATTCCAAAGACCCAAAAATATCAAATGCCATGTATTTTCGACCGAATAGTGAATAAATTAATATTACGATATACTATATACAAAGACCGTGCGTTGGAATAGAGACGTGAAACAGAATCCACTATAGATTGAGGTGACAACTATGTGGGGAATTTATATATTTTCTAGATATATAGCCTTTTTAGCTGCTGGAAACCACAGAAGATGTGCTTAAATATGCAAACAAATCTTAGTGGAGGTGGTTAATTATATACTTATATGCTACTGCTATACATTATTGCGCCAGCTGGCCCATTATATATACGAGCTAGGTTGTGTGGCCATTAGATTAGCTTAGCTAGAGTATATACTTCAATTAAGCTCGCCATATATAGCTAAGCTAGCTAGCTCCACAGCTGTGAGAGTGTGAGCTTTCTGCTACAGCTAGCTTAGCTCCGGCCGCCGGCGCCGCCGCTCGCCATGGCCAAGCTCGCCGCGCAGCTCAAGGACAAGTTCTGCGGCCTCATCGGCCGCATCACCAGCTGTGGCCGCGCCGCCCACAAGGACGCCGGTAAGTATATATACTTATTGTTAATTCTATCGCATCAGATTATTTTGTCGTGAATTATTTATTTTGTTTTTTCGTGTTTTTAAAAATATGTTTGGTTAAAAAGTTTTTTCTTCTGTATTTGTTGAGATCCCTTGTTGTAAGCTACTATTTGCTAAGTTTATCTTTTCTAAAAGTATTTAATTTGTGTCTAATTATTGTCGTGAATTATTTGTTTGGTGTTTATGTGAATATGTTTTGCTAAAAAAAACTTTTTTCTTATGTATTGTTTAGATCCCTTGTTGTAAGGTACTATTTGTTAAGTTTATCTTTTTAAAAAGTATTTAATTTGTGTCTAATTTAATTATGTACATAGGAATAATTCATTTCAATCGTCAGCTAAAATTATTATACCATATTCAGTTTGTCGTATGCTTCAACTCGGCCGGGGTAAAATTTTTACCCGACGAAGCGTGTGATTACTAATTTTGCTATTTACTCGGATAATTAATTAATTTTGCTGATTGCATCATGTCTTCTTTCTTTCAGCAGCTGGTGTAAAAGAGACCCATTCGGCTTCATCTCAGGTACTCTAGCTAGCTCGTTTAATCACTTAGTTACGATCTCGATCTGATTAATTTGGTACGATCGGTTATTGCTGATTTTTCCAAGTTTAACTCGGTCAATTAATTAAGGGCGATTATTTTTTCATAATTTACATATTTTTTTAGAAAATAATTGCTGTTTCCGTTGGTCATTTGCGCAGCACACAGAGATAAGGTCAAGGGGACTTCCACCGTCTGTGTCAGGAGGGTCCAAGCCCCATACCAATTAACAGCGACAAATTACCATTGATCAAAATCGATAGATCTCTCTGCTTAATAATTAATCAACGTCTACTCGTTCTAATACTGTGTGGTAATGCACAATTCATTGTGCAATAGCTATATGAAGCTTTTCTTCTTCTACTATCTGTTTGCTGTATTTTGAGAATTTTGGTGTTGACCAGTTCACAGGTGTGGTCTTCAGACTAAATTAACTTGCGAACTCGGGGCTTATTCGGTTAATCCCTTTACCATGTGTGAAATTAACCGAGCAAGTTAATTTACACCGGGGATTTTACCGGGGTTAACCCCCGGCTACGAAATGTATACATGTATGTGTGTATGTTTAGTGGGGTTGTACAGAAAACGGCT